TTAATGAAACTCACAATCAAATTTTGCGACAAGAAATTGCAAGGCACTGCATGGTTCAGGCCAGGTTATTGGCATATCGAACTGGTGAGTTACATGCTTACTTCATAAATTGGAACTGATTGGTTGGGTTGTATTTGTCTCAGGCATAAAATGGTATTCATCTCATCAGTGGTAGAGTTCACTTACTCTTGGATACTAAAGACTTGCTTTAGTATCTATTAGTGGAACCATTCAGTAAACAACTCTATTAGCAGTTTTAAGATTTCTAGTGACCATATTTTCAGTGCTACATTTGTAAACCAGGGTCTGATTACTGATTATCTAGGCCATTCTCTGTCTCTTGATTTATTGAAGTCTCCACTAGAAAATGGGACAAAAAGAGAAGGGAGAGAGAACCAGTATCATTTATTTTTGTTCATTATTAAACATTTTGTATGTATTGAGTATTTAATATATTTAAAATATTTACAATAAAAAAGTGAGAAAAAAATTAGTTTATATCCCATATAATGAGTAATAAAGTACTTATAGTAAATCTCATTGCCTCTGTCACCCATATTCCTCAACAAGACCAAGAGAAAAGCTGCCCCTGGGAACCAGCAGCACCCCTTCTCCCACACACATATCCCATCCCTGGTGATTGAATGTAAAACATTTGACCTGTAGAAGCCAATCAATGGGCTTACCAGCAGAGAGGAGTTGAGTCAATCATAGTTCCTTTCCTGAAACTGACCTAACACAGAAATTCTGAGTCACTGAAGTTGAATGATTACAGTTTTGGGATTGGCAGCACGTGCAAGATAGAGAAGCAGGGGAAGTGGGAAAGGTGAGCCCGCACCCTGTGGAACCCACTAGTAGAGTTACAGAGATCAGGTTGGACAGCCCCAAAATGAAAGTTCACTGTTGTGGCTCCAGTCAGCTCTCAGCTCTGTTATTGTCAGCACTTTCTTTACAATGGGCCCTAATACAATTAGCTCCCTGTCCCATCTTACTTTTTCTGAATGCCTCGATACCTGGGGACCAAAGAACAGGTCCTTATCATTCTGACTTAAAGCTTCAAAATTCATAAATTTCAGTAGGTACTTGAAAGGGCTACTACAGATGAATTTATTCATTTACACAAGAGCAAAGCAGCAAGGGAGAAAAGTTAAGCAATAACATTGGCTCAATTCTAGTTTTAGCATTAAAACTTAGCTTTAAATAAGCCCACTCTAGATATTTTTAAGATTATCTTTCTATTCTATATTTGCTAGGCAAAAATTGAAGTAAAATTGTTTCTGCACTCTTGATCTTATTTGGCTATGGAGTATGTGTCAATAAGAGCTATTTCATATTTACTAGGAAGGGTACATTTAATGTTTGAGTGGGTCTGTTCTGTACATCTGTGGCTGTGTGTATTTCAATGCAAAAATAGGAAAATACTGGGACCTCCTGGGTGGTGCAGCGGGTTAAAGCACAGCACTAAGAAGCTAAAGCCACTTCAGCACCAGTTCCATCCCCGCCCCAGAGGTGACCCACATGGTGTGGCAGACCTCTCCTGACCTGCCTGTTGCTCCCCTCAGCAGTGTCCTTCAACAGCCAGCCTGTTCTGCTCCTCACTCTGTCTCTGGTGAATCCTCTCACCACCCCTGCCCCTGTGCCCCAGTTCTATCTGCATAAATAAATAAATAAATAAATAAATATTTAAAAAAAAATTTTTTTAAAGAAGCATATGCACAGAAGTGTATAAAAAAAATAGGAAAATACCTAAAGAAACACAGAAGGAAAAAATTCAGGCCTAAAGTTCCTACAAAATGTACATTGCCAACTCAAAGTTAAATTTTAGAATTGAAGGAAATGAATGTTGGTGTTTATGAATTAATTATTTGATATAAAGCAACATCTGGGCCCTCCCTGGTGGCACAGTAGGTTAAAGCACGGCACTGCAAAGCTGGCCATGACCAGGAGTTTGATTCCCTCTTCCCCCCGAACCCTCGCAGGTGATCCACACAGAGCCGCAGACTTGTTTCACTCATTGCTCCCCTTAGCATACTTAGTATACTTCCTCAATCTGCCTGTTCTGCTCCCTACTCTATGGTAAATCTCTCATTGTCCCTGCACTGCTGGCCTGTACCCCAGTTCTGTATGTATAAACAAATGAATCTTTTTAAAAAACAAGTAAATAAAATAAAGCAACATCCTAGGAAGCCCTTCACATTGTAATCTCAATTAAGTGCAATCTCTATTAAAAACACTTAAACACCTGTCTATTCGGCATAGCTGCCATACAATCTGTGATGATACAATTTTTACCCTGAGGAGAAGATGCCAGAAGCAAAATTTCTGGAGGAGATAAGCCCTAAGCTCAGTCCTAAATGAATATGCTGAGAGAAAAGCAGGGCAAGAGAGAGTGGACACATAAGGCACCAGGAATAAGACAAATGTGGATTTGCCTCAACGGGGTGAGTAGCTCCTGTTCCCTATTTTAAAACAAGTTCAAGCCCTCAAATTTAACTAAGCAAACTGCAGTATACAAAAGAATGTAGAATTCAGTTACCCAGAAACACCGTTACAGAGTTAAGTCCCTCCCAGAAAAGAAAAACTGAAAACATCACTTAAATGTCATTTCTACTCCCATTTCTTTAAAGGTGTCAGTACCAAATATTTTTCTGTCTTTTTGTTCTTCAGCCCCAGGATTTTCTTTCCTTAATTCTTCAAAAATTCACCCTGACTCTCCCAAGCCTACTATCGTGAAGGTCTCACCCTGATGCTCACAGGAAACCTAAGTGGCCCTGAGGAACAGTAGCTTTTTTTTTTTAAGATTTTATTTGTTCATACAGAACTGGGGTACAGGTCAGAGGCTCAGGGACGGCGAGAGGCTTCACCAGAGACAGAGTGGGGATCAGACCAGACTGACGGATGAAGTACACTGCTGAGGGGAGCAGGGGGCGGGTCAGGAGAGGTCTGCCCCACCATGTGGTCACCTCCGGGGCAGGCCGGAATCAAACTCATGCAGAAGTGGCTGTAGCTTCTCAGCGCTGTGCTTTAACCCGCTGCGCCACCAGGGAGGGCCAGAACAGTAGCTTTTATGAAAAGATCAAGGAGAACTGATTAGAGACTTTCTAACAAGTATTTTTAAGAGGGAATCTGGAAATTGACATGAACAATGTCCTGGGCTCTCCCTGGTGGAACTGTTTGGGAGGCAGCACAGCAAGCTAGTAGACAGCTGCTTCAGTGAGAGTTCGATCCCTGGTCCCAGAGGCGATCCACATGGCAGGGCAGACCTCTCCTGACCTGCCTGCTGCTCTCTTCATCAGTGAACTTCGGAGATCTGTCTATTCTGCTCCCAGCTCTGTCTCTGGTGATCCTCTCACTGCCTTTGCAGTGCTGGCCTGCACCCCAGTTCTGTATGCATAAATAAATAAATCTTTTTTTTTAAATGTCCTTATTGGGCATTTTGTATTCCTAAAATTGAAATATAAGTATTTTGCTCTATTGAAATAAAAAATTAAATTTTGAATTTTAGCAAATTATCAATAATTTACATTTTCAGGCCCATTTTGTTTGAAATGGCTGTTCCTTAGAATCACCAAGGGAGCCAGGAAAGAGCATTTGAGAGGGGAGAAAGGAAGGTGTGGAGAGAGAGAGGAGAGAAAAGCACCATACTAGAAGCAGAAGTGGTGTTTGTTGGGGTGCTGAAGGAGTAGGGACAGACAGGACCCTTCCATCCTGTGCTAATTCCTGTAAATAAAGTTTGCCCACCTAATTCCCTAACATCCTCACTCTAGGAATCTGAAACAAATGACACCCCCTCTCCAGTCCTTCCCTCCTTCCTCAATATCTCCCTCCCACCCCAATGGCAGGGTTACAAGCTTTACTTATCATTTATTGAGGTGTGAGCAGAATACTGCTCAGGCCCATGACCCTGAAAACTGAACTGCAAGGCCAGCATAATCAACATAATAGTGCAAAGTACATAGTATTTTTTTTTTAATATTCCTTCAGTAGGCAGCCAAGTACCTAGAAGGGACAAGGGCACATAGTTCATTCCACTGCACTGTGAGCAAAAGAATGATGAGAAAAAATACCCTCACTCTTTCCTTCAGTGAGTTCTAAAGGAAAAACCCTGACACTTGTTCTCTAGCAGGCCCCACACCTCATGACAGGGCGCATGGCTACTTCCCCCACGGCCTCAAAAAAGGTGTTTCTATCAACAGGAGTTAACAAGTCTGCAACTTGCCAAAGGAAAGGCACACATAAATAAATGCCTTTTCTAAAAAATGAAAATAGCAAGAGTTTTCAACAAAGGGGGTGGGGGGAGTGGAAATGCAAACCACAAACATTTGGACAGAGATTAGGCTGTTACACTAACAACCCTAGCAACCACATCCAGAGTTCCCTTCTGCAAATAGCGCCTTCCCCACACGATGGGGACGCCGCTGTGTCTCTGGGCGCCAGTTCCGCGGAGCTGCACCCTCAGGACCGGCCTGCCGCACCCCTGCTCCGCAGGGATCTCGTCCCGGGCGCGCCTCGGAAGTCCGGCTGGACTCGACCCAGATCGTTTCCTGCAGCAAATCACTTAATCTCAGTTTTCACCCTCCGTAAAATGCAATGGATCAGAATACAGTTCTGTAGAATCGTTCCCAGACTTTATTCGGTTACAAGAAATGGCTCGCAGTCCTGTCGGTACTTGCTGGCGGGCTGGTACCCCGAATCGCACCGGGCGCGGCCAGCGCAGCCGCGCCGTTCGCTTTCCCAGCGGCTGTGAAACCCCAAAAAGTGAAAGACAACAGCCGTTCGAGCCCGGCGTTACGTGGCCGCGAGGGCGCAATCCGGGGCCGGGGGTAGGGGGCGCCTGCGGGGAGCCCCGAGGGAGGTAGACTGGCGCCCGCCACGCCATGTCCCCGTCGCGCGGGACAGGCCCCGGCGCCCAGCGAGGCTGCGACGCGCAGGCCTGAGCGCCGGCTAAGGCGGCCCGGCACCTCCCGGAGGCAGGGGCGCGGCGACTCGGGGCCGTTTACCTGCCAACGATCACCACCGCGCCAGTCGCTGGGGACGCCATGGCCAGACGCCTCCCTGCCCCGCACCCGGAATGCGAACCGCAGAGATGCCGCCTGCTACCGGGTGCAGAACCCGCGCGGGGTACGGGCGGGGCGGGAGCGCCCGGCGGCCATTGGCTCGGCGTGGCCGGGGGCGGGCGCGCGGGCGGGGATAGGCCCCCACCAGCCTCCGCCTCGCCCTGAGCGCTGACCGGGTTGGGTGCGCTGCGCAGGCTGAGCCCACGGGAGGAGGAGGTGGGGGGACATGCAGAGGGAACACCTGCTGGAAAGTGGGACGCCCAGATACTTAGGAATTAGTAATTCAGTATTTTTGTTTTTAAATTTTCCACCTATACTCTAAAATCAGTGTGTATGTACTTAGAAGCATGTACCTTCAGGCTGGCTCGGCGGTTTCTGGATCCCAAAGAAATTAGCACTTGAATTTCGCGTGAGAGACATTGGTACTGCTTCAAAACATACCATACTGGTCTTTACACTAAGGGTGGATGTTGATGAATTGACGCCACAATTCGTTGCTAGAGACATACCTACCCTTTCTCCACAGATAAGAGCTAAAGCCTAGGAACTTTGGGACCACAGAAAAGGAAAGTTCCACATCTTATCATTCTGTGAAACTGGAAGACTTGTTTGCATTGCATTGCAGTCGCTTAGCTAAGGGGATTCCAAGGAGTTGAGCTGTTTGAACTGTACTTCCTTCTTCGAGAGGCAAATGGCTTATGTATAACATAAAGGAACAGTGGCTGTGCCTGATTGTCCGTTCTTTTGGAACCCAGGAACAAATAGTCTAAGAGAAAAGGCCATCGTACAACACTGTGTATCTACTCAACGCAAACAGAAAGGAAATAACACAATCATTCAGTTCAAAATGTTTAGACAGCAGTCTAATCACACCGCACTCAAACACGGAACCATTGGTGACACAATGGAGCACTTCCTTATTTGTTTTCTCCAAGTTCAACATGAAAAGAGGAACATCAAAGGGCCGGCATTAGCTTTAAACAATTTCACAAGTTATCAATAAACACTAGAAAAGGTGATTGACTCTCTTAATAGAAATGACAAATAACACCAAAAGGTGTCATCTTTCACCCATCAAAAGGGTTAAAATTATAAAGATTGATAACATTTGACAATGAAGACTTTCAGACACAAAACTCTTCCCCACACAATTCTGAAGGCAGGAAAGAGAAATGTTTCTGTATATTGTTTGGAAAGCAATCAGCCACAGGCCCTGAGTGTCCCTGTGCTGTTTTTCTGATTATGATCCCTTGCAATTTTTTAATTGCAAGCCTTAACTGTCTGTCTCCTGATGCTGAGTAGTGTCCATAGCTACTCATACAGGTGGCTAAGTGATTAGGGAACCCTCAGTCTACCCTGTGACCCAGGTGGAGGACAGACTTGTTTACTGTGACATACTGAATTGGCTCTATGCTAATAGAATTGCTGGGCCCAGGCTTCTTGACTGGGTTGCAAGTGCAAGGCTTACCAGTCCCACTCTAAGATCCATGTATGTATACTGACCTTCTGGCTATTGCTTTGGCTGTGAATAACATGCTATTTTATTTCTAATCCAGGGGTCTTGTGGCTTCTGAACTATATTGTCAGTTTGCAAGTGACTGAAAATATCATAGAAGTGACCATTCAAAATTTAAAATGATTGCACTCTGGCTTTGCAATTCCAATGCTAGAGATCTGTTGTAACGGATGCTTTAAAAACTAGAGAAACCCCAAAATAGAAACACAATCATCTCAGACATTGGACAAGAGGATGTCTAGGACTATGACCTCTGAGTCTATAGTTATACACAGTCTACTGTTTTTCAACAAACACTTAAAGGCAATTTAAGGGATTTGTTAAAAGGCTATTCTTTTAACAAATGATGCTGGAAAGTCTGGGCATGCATAGACAATAATAATAGCCCATTATCATACACAAGAACTATCTCAAAGTACATCATTGACCTAAACGTAAAACCTAAAACTGTAAAACTTCTAAAAGGAAACATAGGAGAAAGCTCACTTTGAGTTAAGCAAATATTTCTTAGCCACACACCAAATGTTGAATATGCAAAAGAAAAATCTAATAAATCATGCTTCATCAAAATGAAAATTTATACCTCTTTAAAAACAATATTAAGATACTGAGAAGATAAGTCACACAGTGGGAAATGTTTTCAAATTATCTTTCTGTTACAGAACTTATTTATAAAATATAAGGAATTTTTAATTCAGTAATGTTTAAGAATGGTTTAAGGGACCCCCGTGGTGGCACAAGAGGTTAAGATGCATCACTATGAAGCTACCCACAGCCACTGCAGTACAAATTTAATCCCCAGTCAGGGAGGTGACTGACATGGAGCAGCAGACATCTCCTGTCTTGCCCAATTCTCCCCTCAACAGTATATTTCAGTTAATCTGCATTTCCTGCTCCCCACTCGGACACTGGTGAATCCTTGCATGCCCCTTGCATCTCTGGCCTATACCCTAGCTCTAGTATGCATAAATAAATATCTCTCTCTTTTTTTTTAAAGTTTAAAATGGGCAAAACTTTTTTAAAAAATAAAATAATAGTTTATTTTTACATCATTTTGTGCATTTTTCCATCTCAGTTGTAATCCCCATGGGCTTCCTATCACCAAATCACCTGTGTGCCATCACCATAGTCCAGTGTACTTCCCTCCCCCCACAATTTTTGATCCCATTCCCCACTCCACCCCCACAGAATGTCTCTGGTATCTGGTTGTTCATTATTTTTGTTATTTTCTCGCCTGGTCCATTATACTCCTGCTATGAGTGAAACCATCCGGTATTTTTCTTTCTCTTTCTGGCTTATCTCACTAAGCATGATCTTTTCCAGCTCCATCCAAGTTGCTGCAAAAGACATGTGTTTCTCTTTTTTGGTTGCTGAGTAATATTCCATTGTGTATATGTACATAATATGTATCCAGTCATCTACTTTGGGGCATTTGGGCTGCTACAAATGTTGATGTTTATATAATACAACACTACTCAGCAACAACAAAGTATAAGGTATTCATACATAAAATAATATAAATGACTCAAAAAAACAACTGAGTGAAAGTAGCCAAATACAGTTTGTATTCCAATAGTCAGAGCCACCAGTTCAACATAGAGTATTGGTGGGTGCAGAATTATCTGTAAAATATGCTGGAGAGAACTGAGACTAGGCATTACTCTACTATGAGTTGCTGCATTGCTATTTTCGAAGGTGAAGAAAGCAAGAAAGTAGTCAATACAAGAGTACTGTTTAACTATTATTCAAGTTATATCCAACTCTCTAATCTATAAGGATTGGGATGGATGATTAATTTGGCCTGGTGGTACATGGGATTACCTGGTAGATCACAAGGGAAATTTGAGGGTAATATACATAATCTGTATCTTAATTATGGTGGTTGTGTGTAAATTATCAAAATTCACTGAAATGTACACTTAAATGTTTGTATTACATGTAAGTTATACCTCAGTAAAATCTTTATTAACATAAGATTTTGTATGATTTACATTCTTCAAGAATAAATTCTTAGTTCACCCCATTCCTACCCTTACTTCCACAACCAACTAGAGAAAAAAGCAAGCACACACAAAACCTTAATCAGTTGAGATGCTGGATGAGAGTGAATTTGCAGCAGTAGTTGGGAAAGGAAGTAATAAATACTACCTTCTCTCTTCTGATTACTAACAAAAGCAAGATTATAGCAGTCATACATTTTTGTTCTTATTTTTATCTGCATACATATATTTGTGTATATGTTATCTAATCTTTTACCTCCCTCCTCCTTTCCCTTATAAATTTATGGAAGTATTGTTAATAGTGCTTCAATTTATAGTTAACCTTTAGATTAGAGAATATTCAGTTCAAAAGTAGACTGAATTAGACATCAGAAGTGCTTTCCCAAGATGAGTGTAATGACTAGTATCATTTGCTCTGTCTCCCCTTTTGGAGGAAAGAATAAAAACACCCGTAAAGGAAAAAGAAGTGCCTCTTAGGAGAAAGCTCAGACTTTAATATTGTGGTATAAAAGTACAATTGCAGTTTAAGGGAGGGTTTAGATTCTGTCAGTTATTATTGGGTTATTGTAGCTCTACCACAAATCCACCCTTCCAAATTCTATCATGTAATAAAAAAGCTGCTTTCTGTTAAATTATTTTTATAGATATTAAATCATTGCATTTATTTTTCTGACACATATTTTTTTATAATTATATATATATATATTACATCATTCTTCCTTTTTATGCAATGTCTACTTTTTCCTTTCAGGTGTAGTTCCCTAATAATTCCCATCACAAATTCACCCCTGCACCATAACCATAGTTCCATGTTTAAGAACACATTCCCTTTTCTGCTTTAATCCTTTTTCCTCCCTCTCCCCTACAGAGCATCTCCAATTAATAGTTGCCTATTAACTTTATTTTTTTATTTATTATAATTTTTTTTCCTGGTCCTGTAACAGATACAGGTTTCATGGACTCCGCCCCCACTCGATGCTGGAACTCCAAATCCCATCAGTACCAAGAAGAAGCACGCAGGGACGTGAGGGCGGAGCTGAGCAGCCAGGTGGGGATAAAACTGGACACGTGGGCTCTGGGGCTCTCTTGGCCTGGTGGTTCGCAGCTGATCATTTTGGTGCTCAATCGGTTTTCAGTGTGCCGGTGGAGTCCACGTCAGCAGAACTGGTAGGACATCCTAGTTAACCTGTGTTTCTCTCCCTCTTTCCCTGGGTTATCCCTTTACCTTTCTCCTTATAAATAAATCCATTATTTAACCTTTTGAAGTGTGTCCATAATACGATTGAATCGTAAGCGCACGGGTGAAGACCCACAGACAGGCAACCCAATTCACATTGGGGTGCCCTGTAACAGTCCCTTACTTGGTTCTATCCGATATTTTTCTTTTTCCTTCTGACTTATTTCACTGAGCATAATTCCTTCCAACTTCATCCACATTGTTCTGAATTGTATGATCTGTCTTTTTGATTGCTGAATAGTATTCCACACACACACCACATCTTCTTGATCCAGTCATCTAGTTTTGACTATTTGAGTTGTT